TATGATAGCCACCCTTTTAAATGCATCTGTGCCTTTGTCTATGATTTTGAAGTTCTTGCTAATTCTTTCCAATCAATTCAAACATGGAATGGAGTACCTTCCGAGAAGGCTGCTGAATGGCTCTCTGTAAGTGTGTCAGACTTGATTTTGGGTTGGTTAAAGTTGCTAAGGATTGAAAGAAGACAGGGAATCAGTTTTGCATTTTTTTTTTCTGGAAAACATCATACTTTTTAGAAGCTTTTGTTGTTATTACTTTCTTCAAAATCTGCTGAGCTGCTTCATCAAGATGAATCAAGTGGTTCACTAGTGTACCTACTGAAACATTCTTGTTTAGGTAAGAACAACAATCTTACCATTTTTGGTCAGCAATATTAGAATTATATACACTTCTGCAAGCTTTCTTTCAATGTAGTATTCAGATCTGGCTATATTTTCGTATACATTTAGTATGTTTATTCAATGATAAAAAGTTTCCATACAAATTTGTCACTTACCACCCCTCTTATTCAAATACAGGTTTTGTTGTTGTTGTTGTTGTTAACTTTTCCCTAGAATGTTTTACCCTATTCTTTGTTTTAATAAAAAAACGTAGCCCTTGGTAGAAATTTTCCAGAAAAGCATCTACCTGAAAACTCATGTATCTCAAAATTAAAGTAAGTATGGGAAAATTACTTCACTGACCTTGGGAAATACCAAATAAAGAGCCTGAGGAATCTCAACATATACGAAATTACACTCTTAGGAAAAGCTTTCTCAAAACTTCTACTTAATAAAAATGGGGAAAAGGTGTAGACACTGTGTGGGATGTCATGGAGGTCACATCAGTAATGCTTTAAATGCTTTCCCTGATTCTACCCTTGTCCTTCCCTAACTTTTTCTTCTCACAGGAGCTAGAGTGGTCCTTGTAAAACATAAGTAAATAAAAAACATACTACCGTTCTACTCAACACCTTCGTTATCAATCAGAATGAAAGACCAAGCCTTTACAAATGTCTGTAAGCCTCAAAATATTCACAGTCTAATGTGATAGACACTAGTTAGATGTGTCTTTTGAACATGTGAAATGTAGCTAGTTTGAATTTAGATGTGCTATTAAGATGTGAAATACACAATGGATTTGGAAAACTTAGGACTGATTAAAAGAATGTAACTTTTCTCTGTAATAATTTTATATTATTATTTATATATAAGTTGCAGTAATAATATTTTGGATACACTGAGTTGAGTAAAATATGTTATTTAAATTAGTTCCACCACTTTTTAAAAAACTGTATCCACAAGAAAAAAGTTAAATTACAGGACTTACATTTATGGCTCACATTCTGATTTTGTTGAATGGCACTAGCCTAAATGACCACCAGGTCACCAGCTCCCTCTCAGTTCCAACTCAACTCACATCAGCTTCTTTGCTATTCCTCAATATAACCATGTATATCTCAAGCCTTTGTGTTGGCTGTTCTCTCCTCCTGGAAAGTCTTGCCACAGATATCCTTATGGTTAGTTTCCTCACTTTTTTCTGTTCTGTGCTAAAATTATCAGAAAGAACTTTTCTGACCAATCAGTTTAAGATGGCCTCACAGAACACTTGTACCTACCCACTTTTTTAAAAAACCTGTATCACCTAGCATATTACATGTGTTTGTGTGCATGCTTGCATGGTGTGTGTGTGTGTGTGTGTGTGTGTGTGTGTGTGTGTGTGTGTGTAATATTTCCTTAGTAGAATAACCCCCATGAAGTCAGGGACTGTGTTTTGTTTATTCCTGTTCCTCTGGAATAGTACCTGGATTTTGGTAGATACTAAATAAATATGTGTTAAATAAATGAAAGGATAAATATCACTAAAAATAAGTAAAGAGATATCTGAGGCATTTTATCATGAAGGTTTGGAAAATGAGAAGAATTAATATTTCCTGGGTGCCTACAATGAACTAGATACTGGGCTAAGCACTTATATATAATGTCTTAATCCTCACAGAAATGTATTTGCAGATTAGATATCTAAAGTTCAGACAATTTAAATAATTTTACAAGGTCATTTAGCCAGTATGGAACATCATTTCAATACTTTTTATTTCAATGTCTCCAAGTAGCTCCCCTGACTCCCAGAATAAATCAGATGCTCTTGTAAATAATTTCTAAGTACTTCCCCTTCATATAATTTGTCACCACTGTATTCATTTTGTAGTGTGGCACTTAATGTCTGTCTTCTCGCTGAATTATAAACTTCATGAGAGGTGGCAGTGAATATCTTGTTGATATTTCCACCCTAATACTTAATCTCTAGTACATATTTATTGAATACATGAATGAATAAAATTAACTTTATCTTACAATATTATAAGAGTCGATGAGTGGGTTATTTGTGGCCAATGAGAATTAATGATTTTGTAGATCTTCTAAAAGAATGGCACTCATTAGAATGAAACCCTGCTGGATATTTCAGGGGAAAGTAAGCTGGTGTATAGGTGTTCTTCACACTTGACTGTACCTTATGATCACGTCTTAGGGTCCACACCTTATGGATTTCCTCTGGAAATGTACTGTCCAACATGGTAGACATATAGGGCTATTTAAATAAAACTTAATTAGGGGCACATGGGTGGTTCAGGGCATTTGGACATCAGCTCAGTTCACGATCTCACGGTTTGTGGGTTTGAGCCCCATGTGGGCTCTGTTTTGACCGCTCAGAGCCTGGAGGCTTTTTCAGATTCTCTGTCTCCCTCTCTCTCTGCCCCTTCCCCACTCACACTCTATTTCTCTCTCTCTCAAAAGTAAACATTTAAAAAAATTAAACAATAATTAGATTCATTTCCTCAACTATAGTAGCCACATTTCAAGTGCTCAACAGTCATACATGGCTAGTGGCTGCCTTAGGACAGAACAGATAAATAAAATTTCCATTATAGGGAGAGTTCTAATGAACTATTCTAGGAAGTTAAAAAATTCTTAGGAGGATGTATTTTTAAATCAGAAAGGGATGGTTCGATGAGTTTTGTATTCTAACGAAAATTAAATTTTGAAAAAGAGCTTAATAATCTGTATTCTCGAGTGTTTCTGGGCAAGACACAGACATGGAAAAGGAGCTTCATTGTCTAGTGGATGAAACATTTAGTCAGACGAGCTCATGCACAGCCAGTGACTGGTGTGGAAAGAACCACTCCTCTGAGGGCTCTGGCCAGGCCTACTGTTCCAGGGAAGCCGCCAGCACCTGGCGGGATTGAGCCCTATGTCTAATGCTATTCAATACCATCCCTTTGCGTTTGATGTACAAAACAGAAGACTGAAATTTGAAGAGGAAAGGGTTTGGAATGCCAAAACGCACCTCAAACTATTAGACTCACAACTTCTGGAGAGTTTTTAAATGTCCCCTTCCTCAAAATGTTACATATCTTCGGGCAATTTCTTCATCATGTAGCTTTCAATAATCTTGGCCAATATAATTGAACTTCCTTTGAGATTCTGTCGCTGAATGTCTTTCTTGCTAATTGGACAAATAAGACATTTCCTGTCATGCCTAAGAAAATAAAAAAGTTTATAGGCAAGAATAAAAATTACATTTTCTATTTTATTTTCTGATTAAGTTTACTTATTGAGGGCGGGTAACAAGAATTTTCTTAAATTGAATCTTCTGGGTATTGGCTCTAGAATTTGTTCACATTTCTCCATCATTGGCCTCTCCCAGTGAATAAGTCTTTTACCAAGACTGACAATAGTTCATGGTTCTCACTTCTAGACAAGAGGCCAGTAGGAGAACTGAGGCGGAGACCAGGAACCAGCCCCACACTTCCCAACTCAACAGGTGGGGAACATGGGATTTTTATGTTCTTTGGGGACTGGGTCCCCACTCACCGTTATCTGTCAGTGTCTGCCTCTGAGATTTTCTTAGGAGAGACACCTAGGGACAGCGGTGCTCTGCATAGACTGGAGAGGAGTGGTGAAGGAGGCAGGCGAAACTGGGAAGTTAGGAAGGTTGGGAGGTGAGGTCCTAGAGCCCGGACCTAGGATGGGACAGATGGTTCCCCCAGCAGTGCGCGGGACACCGAGCGGAGAGCAGAGACACGGAGGAGCAGCAACAGGGGAGACGCGAAAAGCACCGCAAACGCGAAGAGTGGAGCGCGCACGGACCTGGGCGGGGCAGAGTGGGGAAGGGTCACGCCGGGACGTCACCCGCTGTGGGCCGGGGGAGGCGAGCGGGGAGGGAGCTGCGGGCGCCTGCCGGGGGCTCTGGGACCCGAGCTCCGCCGATGAGGTCAGTGGATCCGACGCGCCGGGAGGAGGGCAGTGGAGCCCCCGGACGCGGGAGTTGCGAGGCCGGCGGAGGGGCGGGACGGGACGGGAAATGGGACGGAGAGCTAGGGCCGTGGGAGGAGGAACGAGGGGGCGTCGGCGCTGGAAGCCGGAGGCGGCCCGACCGGGATCGTTTCCTTCCGGAGAGGAGGCCGGCTCTGGACCTAGGCGGGGACGGGGGGCGTCCAAGGGCGGGTGACGGGGAAATAGCGCGGCTCTCGCTTCTCCCGGGCTGGCAGCGGTGCTGCTCGTGGCTCCTCCTCGGGGCCAGTCCGGAGCCCGGCGGCGGGGGGGAGCGGGAGGCGGAGAGCGAGGGCGGGGGCTCGGGAAGGAGGGAGGAGGGAGGGACCAGGCGCGCCAGTGACAGGGTGGCAGCCTAGGAGCGGACGCGTTGCCGCCGCCGCCGCTCCACCTCCTCCTCCAGCAGCTCCTCTCGCTGCTGCCGCCGCCACTGCCGCCGCCGGGAGAAGTTTCACTCCCGACCCTCGTTCGGAGCCCGGACCTAGAGCCGAGCGGGGAGCGCGGCCGGCAGCGGCAACCCGCAGTGGGCCAGGCGCCCGGAGCGCTCCGACCGTGAGCCGGCGTCGGCGCCTCGGCGGCGGGCAGCGGCCCGGGCTGGGGGCGCTGAGGCGGAGGAGGGGCGGGTGTGAGCCGCGGGACCCGCGCGCAGCGCCGCAGCCACTCAGCTAGCGTCCGCGCCGGGGGCAGTCGCGATGGCCGTGCGCTCCCGCCGCCCGTGGATGAGCGTGGCACTGGGGCTGGTTCTGGGCTTCACCGCCGCGTCCTGGCTCATCGCCCCCAGAGTGGCCGAGCTAAGCGAGAGGAAGAGACGCGGCTCCAGCCTCTGCTCCTACTACGGCCGCTCGGCCGCTGGCCCCGGCGCTGGCGCGCAGCGGCCGCTCCCCCAACCTCAGCCCCGGCCGCGGCTGGAGCAGTCGCCGCCCCCCGCGCGCCAGGAGCTTCAGGGGCCGCCGCTGCCACAGGCAGCGCTTGGAGCAACCAGTTTTCGGAGCAGCCCCTGGCAACAGCCACCTCCGCTGCAGCAGCGGCGGCGAGGACGCGAGCCCGAAGGCGCAACGGGGCTGCCAGGCGCCCCCGGGGCCGAAGGGGAACCCGAGGAGGAGGACGGGGGCGCGGCTGGGCAGCGGAGAAGCGGCCGGCCGGGGAGTAGCCACAACGGCAGCGGGGACGGGGGCGCTGCCGCCCCGAGCTCCCGACCCCGGGATTTCCTGTATGTGGGAGTGATGACCGCGCAGAAGTACCTGGGCAGCCGCGCGCTAGCGGCGCAGCGGACCTGGGCGCGCTTCATCCCCGGCCGCGTGGAGTTTTTTTCCAGTGAGCAGCCCCCCAACGCCGCAATGAGCCAGCCCCCGCCACCCCTGCCTGTCATCGCGCTACCGGGGGTGGACGACTCCTACCCTCCCCAGAAAAAGTCCTTCATGATGATCAAGTACATGCACGACCACTACCTGGACAAGTATGAGTGGTTTATGCGCGCCGACGACGATGTCTACATCAAAGGTGACCTCCCAGCGCCGGCTGTCCCGCCTGCCCGCTGGCCCCCACCCTCTTCTCCCGAATCCTTCCTCTGCAGCCAGCCCTAATCCCTGCCCAGCCCCTCTCTGCTTTGCTGCCAGCACGTGCTCTGAGCTCCTGCAGCCCCCAGCCCTCGGTCCCCACCCCTCGCATCCGCCCACCATGCCTAGTCCGCTCCTCCTCTTCTGCTGCAGTCTGGACCCTCCTCACACCTGACCGGTTTTATTAGCCTTTCGCACTCTTGCTGTTCTCCTTTCCGCCCAGCGCTTGCCCCTACTCTTCACTCTGTGTCAACGCTGAGGAAAGGGACTTTAGGGTTAGCCAAAGGCGTTTCCTACTCTGTCCTCTTCCGAAAGCCGGGGTGGTAGTAGTTTCCCAAATCTATCTAGAGGGGCGTGTCCTCAGGAAAGGAAGGGAAGACCGAGGAAGCGGGCGAGAGCCGGTCTGGATACGGGTGTTCTAGCTTTATTCCACAACCCTTTTGTTTTGATTGGATCTAGCGCGGTTTCAGAAATGGTGAGATTAAGGAATTATTTTCGCTATTCGGGACTGTTCCCTCTGCGTTTCCTTCCCTCTCTTACGACCCCGTCAAGCCCCGGGAGTCCTTGAGCACCCACACCCACATCGCTCCAGCGCGCACCTCCTTCCAGCCACAGCAGTGCTGCACAGAGTCGGGCCCTAACCCCCACCCCGCCCCCCGCCCACCTCAATAAAACCCCGGGCGGAGGAGAGCATTTTCAGGAATTGGTGGTGCGCAGAAGGTGAGAGCGCGGGTGACTTATCCAGACCCCAGGAGCTCCAAGCTGTATTAGCATGTACTAAGGTGGATCCTTTCCAGTCCATCTTGGTGGCGGCGGCGATAAGCAGAGGCTTGGAGTCCTTCCCCAAAACCACGCGCAGCCACAGCAGGAGAAAACTTTGTCAGTTTTAAAAGAGGCGCGGTCTTTCACCCTCATCGTGGGTGGCTCTGGCCAGAGGTTTCTAAACTCAGCAGAGAGAAGTTCTTAAGAGCGGGAGTAAATCTTCCCAGTACCGCCCGCTGTGGAGATGGACGCAAGGGAAGTCTCAGGGTTGTGTTGAAGTAGGGTCTCCCAGTGCTTCCTCCATTTCCCAGCTTCTTGGTCAAAGGGGGGCAGCCCTTCCTTACTGTTAAGAAAGCCTCGTGGCTTTCTCCTTATCCAGGTAGTCTTTCACAGGATTCAAGGAAAAACAAACAAATTCCGTTTTGGCTCAGGGAGTGAATGTGGAGTAATAACTAGAGATTTCTTGGGGTTAGGTTGGGAAGAGCGAAGTCATTCCATTGGTGATTCGATACAAAAATAAATGGTTGCCTTTCTAATGAATACGGTATCTTACAGACAGATTTCAGATGTATAGCTATCTATAGCTATAAGTGATAGATCCCTTCTAGTCCCCTTGTCTTCTGCGTATGGTTGAAGTCACAAAGGTTTCCTGGCAGAAGTTTGCCACACTTGACAGAGAATTTCTAAAATGCACGAACAGCATCTACTTCTGTCATTTCTCTTAATGGTTTGAAAGACTGTCCTTCAGAACACCGAAGTGCCATATTCATTCCATCTCTATTAAGAATGAAATGCATTTTGAATTAAGAACCCAATAATAGCTAAAACTCACTGAAATCCAAGGGGGAGGGGGGGAGGTGTGGCGTGGCTTCAAGATAAATGACTGCAGATGAGTTCTCATCAAAAAACAATAGTAAAGATGCTGACTGGGAATATAAAGAAGGTGGCTACTTCATTGTGTCGCTTTGTAGAATACCAAATGTGTTTTAGCTACACAATTTGACGTTTAAGTGGTTTTTCTTGATGAACTTACATACTGTAAGGAAACCAATTATATTATTATTTTAACAAATGTTTATTTTTTCCAAAAAGGTATTTTCAAAGTTACCAAGTTAAATTCCAACACAACTTTAATATTCTTTCTCTCTCTCAATTTTTGTTTGTATGTGACTCAAGTTTAGTTCAGGACAAAACACGACCAATTTATCAGGAAAAAATACTAATCGGATATCAACAATCTGCCAATCAGTGCTGAATATAAATGTTGTTATTTTCTGAAAATTTTATCATTAACTCAGATATGCTAAGAAATTTATCATTAATCTCCTATCATAATCTCACCTTTTACAAAAAAAAGTGTGGTGATTATTATACTTAAGGTTTTCCAGTGACCTTGAGTAGAAGGTTAAGAACATTTTATTATGACTTAATTAGTAACGGAAATTTCATAGTTTTAAAGTAATAGAATATTCAGAGAGGTCTTTCTTCCTTTCAGCTGTATTATGACTTTTGGGGAGTTTGTGCACAATGTTGAAAGGTCTTTCCCTTACTTTGTATGTTCTAAATGATTACGAAATTAGGAAAAGGAGAGATTGTTGCCTTTCTCTTTGTAGGTGATAAGTTAGAAGAGTTTCTTCGATCACTCAATAGCAGCAAGCCTCTCTACCTGGGCCAGACTGGCCTGGGGAACATTGAAGAACTTGGAAAATTGGGGCTGGAGCCTGGAGAGAACTTCTGTATGGGAGGACCTGGCATGATCTTCAGTCGAGAGGTTCTCAGGAGGATGGTGCCACATATTGGTGAATGCCTCAGAGAAATGTACACGACTCATGAGGACGTGGAAGTAGGACGATGTGTTCGACGCTTTGGTGGAACTCAGTGCGTCTGGTCTTATGAGGTAAGACAGGCTGTGATGAAAATGTTCACATGTTATAGATTCTTGCCAGTTTATTGCCTGGGGCAATGACTATGTTTATTCTCTTGCTTGAAAATGACAGCATCAGCCGTGTATGGACACAAGGGTGATTGTGGGGAATAACTTTCTTCACAGAGCCGAGGCCTGTGGGAGGTGTTTTTTATTAACATGGCCCTTAACTTTAAGCAGGAATCTGTATATATGGTCACATCTCTGGAAGATGCTCTTTCCCCTCTATTTGCTTTATTGGTGTTGATATACGTGCTTATCCATTTCCTGTCTCTAACAAGGGGACTAATTTTATTCTCTTGGGTTGTAGCTTTTAGCATTTGGTACTTGGTTGGTTGTTGCTGTTGTTGTTTTGGTTAGGTGTATAATTGCATCTCTTTGTTTCCGAACAGTTTAAGTTTTCTTGGGAGATTTTCAGGTGGAAATTTAACATGCATGTTTTTAAATCATAGGAAAAGTTAACTCATAGGGTATCATTTATGATAGATTTATTCACAAAATAAAGGGGGCTTGTTACCTGGGAAAATAGAAGAAGTTATGAAGATGTTAAGTAACTGTTTAGTATTATGACTGGTTCCCTACAATTGGTCTCTGTCTGCCGTTCTATTTTCTGAACAGCAGCTGTTGTTTATATAATCTGAGTTAGGAACTGTTCTTTTATTGTGATAATTAGTTTTATGAAATACTCTGGGATTTTTTTTTCCTTCAGAAATTTGTTTTGAAGAGAAATACAATTTTGTTTGAAATAGTTTTCCTAAAGGTTAGTGTTAGTAAAAATTTGATTTAACATTTGGTGTATTGCAGTTTTGAGTAGTTTGGTTTTCAGGTCATTGGAGTTTGATATACTCAGCTGCACACATATGTAAATTATAACTTAACTCATTTTTTTATCTTTTCAAATTTTTCTTGTCTCCCGGTATAGAAGAAACATGCAAATAGGTTCCTTGAGAAGTCATGATACCTCAAGATTACACAGTTACTTTGTAATTACTTTAGTAATTACTGTGTAATTATTTTAGTTAATTTTGCTTTATTTATTTTTTTTTAATTTTTTTTTTCAACGTTTATTTATTTTTGGGACAGAGAGAGACAGAGCATGAACGGGGGAGGGGCAGAGAGAGAGGGAGACACAGAATCGGAAACAGGCTCCAGGCTCTGAGCCATCAGCCCAGAGCCCGACGCGGGGCTCAAACTCACGGACTGCAAGATCGTGACCTGGCTGAAGTCGGACGCTTAACCGACTGCGCCACCCAGGCGCCCCTAATTTTGCTTTATTTTTAATACTTTGTGGTATTTACACTTTTAGGGACTATTTCTTCTATCTATTAAAGAAACTAAAAATTATCAATAAATAGTTATTTGGAATATGTACTATGCAAATTTAAAAATGTTATTACCTCATTTCTTTTGATACTAAAATTGTAATTTTTCTTTTGTATAACTATGACTACCCTGTAGAATAAAAATGTTTGCAATGCAAGAACATTATAGTTAAAAATAGGTATTATAGAATAAACTCACTGAAAAATATTTGTTTCTCCATTTACTATAAAACTAACTGAAAGGCATAAAACAAATACCCAGTATAGAAAACATATTAGGTTGATTTTGTTTATATGAAGATACAACTTTGGAGACATTCACTCTGTATGGATGAGTAAACAAAATTATTGATATTTAAAAATAGAGATGGAAATTTATAATGTTTTATTTGGTACTTTATTGCCTTAACATCACATAAGAGGTCTTAATGAACCTTTTGTTTAAATGTCCTTCCCTTCAAGTTTTCGTTGATCCTGCCGTCTTCATCTAGCTGTGAACCCATTTCATCTAGCTGTGAACCCATTTCATCTAGCTGTGTACCCATTTATGTTCCAGGAGAGTAAAGTAAACTCAGGTGACCTACATGCTCAAGAATCGACTTAATATTTTATTTTTAATATAGGCATTTTATAGTGGAACTTTAGGTCATATCATAAGCTGACATAAAAGAACAGATACACCAAGAAATTGCAAATCTTACAAGATGTAATGTCATGATCACAGTATTTTCATTAACTTTTCAAAATACATTTAAATTTACACTCATACTAGGTTATCAACTGATTTCACCATCTATATGAAGAAATCATTTCTATATTTTTTTCCTCGCAAAAGAAAATATTATTCTCTAAAGTTGTGCTGTTTTAGAAGATTGACTTTATCTTTTGCTTAACAATTACATAGAATTTACTTTGTTTTGGAATATCAGTTTTTAAAGAGCTATTTAAACATAATTTTGAGGGGGCATTGCTTTGGTAGTACAAAGTCTCAGGTCTTGTTTAAAGGAATGATGGAACATTTCCTGGCCAAGGTATTTATTAAATAGCATCTGTTAAGAAATTTAGTAATGGTAAATATACAATTAAGTAATAATTTAAGCATGTTAATATTAGGATGCGTTCTGTGTTATATGGGACTCCTGAGTAGATCAGTTGGATCACAGCCAAACTAAGGTTTTCCAGTTTAGATTTTAGGTTAGTTCATCTGATGTCCATTCTTTGCTACTCTTCACATTATTTGAAAAGAATCCTCTATTTTACTGTACACTGGTGTCCTCAGTAAAGATGAAATTGTACATCTGGTCGTATAACAAGCTATGAAAGGATCTTTAACTTTGTTTTCTTTTTTCTTTTAAAAGATCCATCTGTGATAGAATTCTCTTAAAATCTTGAATTTTCTTTATCTATACCTTTCATGGATTTCAGAATTTTGTTTGGCTTTTCCTCCTAATAAAAGTTCTTACAGAGTTAAAAGCACTGCCTATGAATTTTGAGTTTAAATATATGAAGCATTCATGGTGCAATATTATCTTTTAAAAATGATAAACAGGCTTGAAGATCTTCCAGGAAGAGGATTGGGCAAACATAATTAAACTATATAGACTTTGTAGCTTTTCTTTATAATAAATTACAATTTTTATAAAACCTAGAAATCTTTTAGTATTATTTACTGTTCAATGAAAGTATACTTTCTCTGTTTTATATACAATTTAGCATTAATTGAGAGAGAGAGAGGATACACTTGAACTTGGGTTTGAGTTCTCTTGTCTTTGGTAAGTTAGTTCTTTGATCCTTGTTTAGTTCAACTGAAATTGGACATTATTACAGTGTCTGTTACATAATTTTTGGAGAAGATTAAGTGAATTGGCGAGAAAACCTATGTAAAGCCCTTCATATAGTGTTTAGTACACAGTAAATTTTCAATAAATGTTAATTATTATAGCCATAATTGTTGCTGAATAGATCATGTATTATACATAACATGGATTCATTGATATTTTATTATATTTTTTAATGATTAGTAATGAATGATTTGTCTATATCAAAAGAGTCAAACTAAAAATAAACTGAATTCTTTTCAGTTAAAGAATCCAACTTTAAGGTTTTTTGGCAAAGAGCAAGAAAGTTTCAAAAATACTGAAAGTATGGGGATTCCATGTCAGTAGAACTTACTATAAAACATGGAAGTCTGCATGTTTAAATGATGCATTACACATATTTGCTTCAGTCTTTGAGCACCATAATAATAGTTTATCTTAGAAAAACAGTGTGGAAAATATTATCTAACAAGTGATGATCTAATATACATATTTAAGGAATCTCAAATAGATCAGACTCAATATTAAAAAAAATATATATTGTATAGGTTTCTAGATGGTTTGCCGGAACAATAGCCCCTTTTTCTGAGTTTCTCTGGAATTTTCAGTAGAAACAGAGGTTAATAGTGTCTCATTCTGCAATCAACTATATGGACACCAGGAACTTGGCTTTCAAGTAGCTAGAACCTGTTCCTGTGGTGCTCACTTTTGCAGGAAATGATGGATAGCTTTACTTCCTCCCTGGGGTAAGGTCCTCATGGTCTGGGAAAAATGTCTTGCATGGGGGCTTCTTGCTTTGTTTCTCTCTCTGTCATCTCCTCCCCTTTTACTTTTTTCTTTCTGTATTTAATGATATATAAAATAGATTACAAATGCATTTGGTATGCACCACTTTTCATCAAGTTCTTAGTAAATTAACGTGCTTATGATAGACCAGCTTCTATGTCACAAGAGATCACAGAATATGCGCCCAGATCACTCCTAGGGTGCAGGAATGACTTGACCTCTTCTGACTAAAGAGGCCTTTAGTTGCTGATCAGCCTCAGATGGACTGGTTCTCTGTGTGCCTAAGACCATTGGAGAGTCAGAATTATGATTCTCCCTTTGGTACTTGGAGGTAGAAACATCTAGAGTCCTAGGACATATGGCATATGTTAATCAACACACTTCATGGGTTGCTGTTGTACTCATTTATACCTCAAATTGTGTAAGTAAAGATTACTAACTAAAGCATGTTCGTGAAAAATCATTCTATTTTATTCATTCTGTGAGTGTGAGAATTTATTGGCATCTACTGTTGGCTAAGTTCGCTTTTGTGGTAGAGCTCTATCTTGGCTACTGTTTTTCTAGTTCTCTGAGCTGCAATCTGGCAGCTTGGGAGGCTGCATATGGCTCTTAAACATTGTTTGGCTCATGGAGTGTTTTAAGGTTTTCTGTTTTTGTTTTCAGATGCTTTTAGGAGAGGCCGGCAGTCTTCAGTCCCCTTCATATCCTAATTCTAACAACAGGCTTCCCTTGCATGTTTATTTTAACTGCCTGGCCCAGGTATGCTTATGAGTCCTGATATTTTGAGGCAGATAATGCACATGTTGAAATTTTCTCTAATTAAAATATTCTCTAGAAGATGAAATGACTTTCTAGTGAGAATGAGATGCGTATTTTAAATACTGTAATTTACAGAAGAATTTTTTCCAACTTGGCTGTTAGAATTGTGTGTCATATAATATAGTTATACTTCCTTTGTTGTAGGTGTATTTTTAGTAACTAGAAAGTCCTCACTGTTAAAAAAAAAAAAAAAAACAGTTCAGCCAATCCAGTTTCAGCATGTGCCTTA